AGCTTAAAATAATAAGCGACGCTGAAATAAGGTACATTGGCACACCTAATAAGTCGGCTCTGCGGTGTGTCGCAAACTCTAATCTGGTCGGACTATACGCAGGTACCACGCACACGAGAAGACGGATAATTGCGTCTGAAACATCCCACTAGACGAGGCTTGACAGTCCTTCTACGCCCCACAGTACTTTATCAGAGACGCTGTAGAGCCTTTCATACGTGCTCTATAGGTTCAAATCGGGGCTACGAGCAAGCTATTCAATAGTCCAGAAACCATGATATTCCAGCCACCTCTCTGCATAGTGTGAGACGTGGAATTCAGCGTTATCCTGCATAAAGGGGTCTCAAGCATCGTAGAATAGAAGTATAATTTGCTTGAGGATATCGCAATAAGATTGTGTGTCTCGCCCTAGTGCTCTGCGGTCGGGTCTCCCTCGCAATACCATCTTTAAGGCCCTACTTTCATCGTAGCGAGTTAAATCATCTCCCAGACTATCATAGAAATCCTGGGCGATTATGACTCTACTGATTCACGAGACCAGGCCGGTACAGCTTGCTTAGGTACAGGATTACCCAGTCGCTATGGCTAGACGGCGAGTTTTAGTCGGTACACTCATCTGGGAAGAGTGCATGTGTAAACTATTGTAGTTAAAGCGGTATGTGGTATTGATTGCAGAATTCAAGCCTCTTCTTCGCGTCCTCGTCGGTTAAGAGGAGGTGGTAGCGTTGTGGAATGGCCTTGACGGTGTTGGTACAGATGGTAATGGCGGCCTTACGCTTCACCTCTACGTATATTATTCGGGGGTACCAGCGGTTAAGGATAACCGGATGCTTCTCTGCTCTGGTGGATCGCCGTTTTAAAGCACTAATCCGATTGGCCGTGAGTTGGTAACGGTGGACTTAGCCCTACGTGTAATCTGGGCGATGGTTTCGAACCGAATGGTCCCGAACGCGTCCGTCACCTCCCAACGACTCTTGCCGCATGCTCTGGCGGCCGCAATGGCGGCTTTGGCTTCCTGGATGAATTCGCAATTGATGCCGCGATGTCTTACATCGGTGCTAGAAAATCGAAAACTCCCTGCGAATCGCAGTAATTGTGGTAGGTTAAAGTTAAAGTTGTGTTGTTTTTATTTATCAATTAGGGTATAGCAAAGCATATTTAATTGAGTTCGCTTCGTCAATATGACATGTCCAAGACGTATGTTAGAGCCGCACGCAGAATTATCAACAGTCACTGTACCACTGTGAATCTGTTGGGGCACACTGAGAGATAGAAGTGTGATGTATTTGGGTCAGCTATGCTAGTGCTGGTGGGCTGGATCCAAGTAGTAGTGGTGTATATGCACGGACTACATCTGACAGATTCTCAAAGTATAATTCAGCTCTAGATGCCAAACTTTTGTGAAAGTATAACCTACTAAGCCATGGTATACGCATAAAAAGTCGACCGTCCGTAAACCCGTGTACTTTGTTCGGGACTGAAAGCCTTTTGTAGATGACGCTTAACGGCATCCCCTTCCAGGAGGCCCAAGTTCCCAGTATGGCTCTGTGTTATGAGATGAACCAGTAACTTTTGCATCTTGCCTCCCATTTCCATGTGTTTACCGGGACAGGTCAAGAGGAAGTTGGGCAGTCCGCTTTTGGTCGAAATGCAGAGGTCGGCATGAACCGAATTTCCATTTCTTGCTGATAAGGCCTAAAGGCGCACATCGGAGTTGGCCACGTAGGTCTCGCGCGCATCGAGTTTTCCATGCCGATAACTGTACAACTGCCTCACCATGGCTTCCAGGCTTCCAGGCTCCTTGTCATGGACTTCCGTTGCTCGTCGCATGGGCGAATCGGATCGGGTCATATCCCCCACGGAGTCTGGGTGGAACAAAGTGCTACCCACCGGAGATTTCATCCGAGCCTTTGCCGGTAAGGATCACTTGCATCCATGGCGGCGTGCCAGATTCAACTGTGAAAATTTGCCCACGTAGCTCAAGTCCTGCTTGTTATGCTCCATTGCGTTCGTCATGTCCAGGAAGTTACCAGCAGACATATTTTCATAAGTCGGCTGGTGTAGTTGGTCACTTCGCTGGTAGATAAGTCCCGATTTGAGCCTCGCCCACTTGGGTCGGTGACGAGTCGCGGGTTCGAATCCCGCAGCTGACACACAAGGGGGTTTAGTCAACCCTTACGGCGCGCTGCCCACCTTGTTGACTTCGCCTACCTAGCGATAATAGGGAGATTGGTGCAGTTTAGGATTACGAGCATCCTAGCCAGTCGACCGTCAAGCACTACGTCGTCGGAATATAACTCGACAGCCGGTCCAGAATTCGAATCGTTAATCCGACCCCTTATCGGACCTCGCCTTTCCGATAACGCTCGTCGGTGAACCCGCCCCCTCACGATAGAAGGCGCGCAGCACGCCCTCTCGCCGCGATTCTTGCGAGCGTCTGACCACGTTACATTCTATCCACTTGAGCGTATGGTTGAAACGTATACGCTCGACGAGAACCCCAATTAGCAGATACTACGACTTGTCGCGACAAAAAATAGTCGAGCATCTTCTGCACATCAGCAGCATCCCACCCCTGAGGACGAATTTAAGTGCCACATTACCACACTTATCGGTAGTTCAGGCAGGGGTTGTAGCACAGACTTAGGGAGGGACAGGAGGTTTAGTAGTTGTTTGGCTACAAGTTTACCTGTATAACCGCCCGACGCGGCTTAAGGGCCCGCTATATCATCTATAGCCCCTTAAGGGAGTACTTGTAGAGGTACCGAGGGTTAACACCTACGGCGTATTTAATATTATTTTTTTATTATTTTCATAAATACGACTCGTGAGAAATTGCAGCCTCAGCATCTCGGCTGTTTTCTTAGCCAAAGCTAGTCAGCGCTAATGACACCTGTCTTCAGTCTCTAGAATTCTAGCGTTTGATAGTTGTTGTAGCGCTTACACGTCTCGTCATAGATCCAGTCCGTCTCGAAACCAACACGGAGCACTTGAATCTGTTCTAAGCCGCGGTTAAGTCCAGTCTAGTCTTGCTATCTTCCTTGAGAAAGGAAACTGCGAACTACTAACCGAGAGCTATCTATGCCCCGGAAAAGACAGATGCCCACGGTAACATCGGCACGCAACCGGCACGCAACCGAGTCTTGACGGCATCTGTGATCGTGCGACAAACACCCTCTATCATGTCCTCTCGCTCAACCATCTGGGACGCGTTTGAACAGAGTCCTCTTATCATGCATCTAACTTTCATTGAGCAGTCTTCCAACATCCCATTCCGGTTCAATCCACGAGGCTGGAATCCACAGGCTAAAATATGAGCTTGATTCCGTATCGATCGCTGGCCGAGGCAACTATTCTACGTCTGGCATCAGAAAGAACGAAAGGATATATCGAGAAAGGAGGTCTGAGCTCTTATTACTGTGACGTGTCTTTGTTGCATCATGTCGCCTTGTGTTATCCGGTCGTATTTGAGTTACGGGGATCTCGCTTCATCGGCATAGTTGGAATCACAAGGAGAGATGGGGTTATCTCTATACGGCCGACTATCGAGTTTGCTCCATTTCCGCTTCGGACACAACTGCATGATAACATTATCGAAATCGCCGTCTCCAGGATAAACGGCTTCCAGTTCATTGTATCGGACCCATTACGCGGGCTCGTGCCCAGCTGGAGACAACACCAAGGAAAATTAGATTGCATACCATGCCCTCGGTAAGCTTGGCTATACGGAGTAGGTTTGAAGTACGAGATTATCTCAACCTTTTCTTCCCGGGCATATCCGGCCTGGAAGTTAATTACCAATGGTGACAGAGAGCAAAGAAGTACCCCGATAGTATCCACGTATTTCTTAGGTAATTGAAGTCATAAATGTCGGACTATGACCGTCACGTTGGAACTAAATAGTTAATAGCTGCACGTAATGCACTTATAAAACTGAAATATGCCACGTACTACGTCAATTAGATGTAACGGCAGGCATTTATATTGGTTGAAGGCATACATTCGTATTATGCTGTCGGGTCGAAGGCATTCATCTCTCCACAAATGTGACCATTGCAAACTTTACACAAGATATTGGATTATTTTTTTCTGAAAGACGCGGCAATGTTCCTGCATTTGGTTAGACCACTTTGATCCTTTCAAGCAATCATAACTATATATATAGCGGGGCTGGGTATGGAAGCACGGATAAGCCAGCCATGATCGATACCATTTTGTGTACAACGGTGTAACCCTGCGCAGTATTTAATCATGTGGTGCCTCACCACTGACAACCAGGTTTTTGCTGGATAATTTTAAAGCTTTGAGTGACTTATATGTTTCCAGGCTGGCATATTTGATCACTTTACCAATGAAGAACTAGACTTAGTTCCATACAAAACTCCTCCATCAGTTCCCCAGCAGAGTGCACCCGGCTCTTGTACCCACTACTCACGTTGATTCATCGTCTTCTTCCTTCGACAAAAGTCTCGATCATACGTATATGTTTTTTGTCTTGTTCAAGAGCCGGGGGGGGGGGGGGGGGAGAAATCTGAACTGCCACGTTACATTCCAGAGGCGTGTGAAATGTCTAGCGGTCATGGCATACGTGTCAATCTGAATCCCCAACGTATGATCAAGTTCAGTGTTGGTTCACCAAATCACTGCGTGCGTGCGAGAATTGGGCCAGTTGGCCTCTGATAAGTGGAATATCGTCTGGTGTTCCGATACGGGAAGTAAACTCAAACTAGGCACGATACGTTGTTCGTTCGCCGTCACTCACCACAGCAAGCTTTTACGCTCGAGCTAGCGCCGAGTTGCATGACCGCTAGTGGTCGTCTGTGCGACAAGTAGGTTAGTAAATAAATACTAGAAAGTAGCCTAAAATGGTGTACAGTATTGCGTCGAGCGATGGAAGTAATGAGTCCAAACGATGCAGTGTCATATTCATCAAAGACGACATGAAGCAGGCTCTATATTCATGCCCTACACCCGTCGGAACCGATAAGTAGTGCAGGACGATGAATAAACCCGGTCCTAAGCCGAATCCGACGATCAGGATTCTCATGTTGGGGGCGGCAGGTGTGGGTAAGAGCGCCCTCGAATCTCGAGTATGCATCGTGTTTTTGTACAAGACCAAGACGCTAAATATGCCATAGTTTACGACGGGGAAATACCCTCCAGAATATGACACATCTCTGACACTGTCGAGTCGAAGATGCATCACGCTGCCATGCTCCCCCTGCTGGTATGCTGGAGAAGTAGCCCAGACACAGCATGCGTCCGATAACTTCAAGAGGCTGTCACTGCACTTAGACCTCAACAATCCGCCGTCATCACTAAGCCTTTTGTCCCGACAGTCGACGGGGCCCCCACTGTTCAACCAGACGCTGTGTTGCGCCAAGTGTGAGCGCGAGAGGCGGAACAACACGTTTCTCGTTGAGGTGATCAACTACCCTCGAGTGCAATCTCCCAAGGAGCGGTTAAGAATCCTGATGAAGCGGGATTTCGATGCTGTACTCCTCATCTACGACATTGCAAATCGTGAATCCTTCGAGACAGTTGCGTACTTACACAACGAGATCATACTTGAGGCGCGAAAGCCAAGCAGTACCTTGCTCAAGCGGATGACCATCCCAGGCTGGGTGCAGGCATTGGGCCGCAAAGCGCAGGGTGAAATTGTGGTGGGAATTGTGGGCAACAAGAGTGATATCGACACGAGCCTAGAGTATAAGCAGTCAAATAATCGAACGATGCGAAGGAAGTTGCGCGAACAAGAAAAGATGATACGGCTGGGACGTAAATTACTGCTGGGTAGTGAGCTCGAGGTTCCGTTGTCGCCAAGCTCCATCAGCGGCTCTGAGTCAATGCAGATCCCCTCTGATGCCAGTGCCTCTGGTTCAAACCCTTCCGTCATCTCGTCAACAGCAACTTCAGACAAGTCGTCTACGTTGTTTGTTCGCCGGACACAGCTGACAGGACCGCGGCAAATGAAACGACCGTCGAGGTCTTTCAAGGTGGATTCATGGGTCCAGTCAGGAAGTCCCATCACCGAAAGCATGCCAGAAGATCCCGAGATACATCAGGTCGATGCTACCAGAGAAGTGGGCACATGTGACTCGGCTTCCTGGGCCTCGGCCACGACCACGACAGCTCGAAGGCAGGTGACCAAGAAAGAGGGACAAGAGGCTGCTCGGACTCTGCTTCTGCCCGTGCCGTTCTTTGAGACAAGTGCCAAGACGGGAGATAATGTCAATACCATGTTCGAGGTGGTGGTTCGAGAGGTTCTCAGGCAAATCGGGAGAGAAATCTGAGACTTTGAGTAGCTGCGGGTGGGCGCCGTTGTGAGAGACATTGCATAATTAATTTGGGTTGGTGGAAATCAGCATGAGAAATCCATTGTTCGAATTCGGGGTGTTTGAAATCATGGGGGTAATAGTGCACCATGTGGGCATGAAGTATTCACAGTAGCCCGTCATGAAATAGGGATGGTACGGCTGATACTCGGGCACTACACAAGCGAATCGGATCAGTTCGGGCCGAAGTAATTGTTGCCACACGTGTCACCTTCAATTTGGTCTCTATCAGGGTTTATTTAGTATACAACACACCCAAGTCATGCTTCCTTATATTCCAGATTTAAACAGATTTAAATATAAATACCTTTCGTGGTATACACTCCTATATCCAATTGTATCTTTTCAATCTGGGTAGAAACAGCCTACGAACGCCCCCGCTGCAGACGTTGCTTATTGCCTCGTTGGTACTAATAGAAGCAGCTCGGACACATGTATCTTCGAAACCTCCAATGATGCCGCAGCCATCCATCGGCGACATATCCACAGCCCTCCTAGCCATATATGACCTGCAGCTCGTCTCCTATACAATACTCCAGTCGTTATGGGCCGGTTACGGTTACATCTGCCACCTCACCGCCAGCCACAAGGAAACCTTCGAGGCACACTCCCTCATACTTAAACTGATAACGCCACCACCACTCAAGGCAGATGATGAGGGTCACAGCCGCAAGGTTCTCAGTTATTAAGTCGAACAGTACTTCTACAGTCATCTGGCACCAAAGCTGCCACGGACTGTGCCCGTCGCCCAGTGTCTGGCTACCGTCAACGAGCATCATCCAGATGGAACCAGTATCACCGCGATGATTATAAGTGATTTACGCCATGACTTCCCCATAGCGAGTGGGAAGAGAAACTCGTTGACAGAAATTCAAGTTCATGCAGCGCTGGCTTGGCTCGGCCAGTTTCACGGCTTTTTCTGGACTAGGGTTGGCGACTTGGACAGAAGCAGGCTTGTGCGGCCACCACTCGTCGAGGCGAGAGGAAGTGATGAAAACAGGCCCGACAGGGCCGTGTGGTTGAACGGAGGCTACACCTACCTTGCCACAAGGCGAAACGAGTACGATAGTCTTGCGGCAGATGCCGCATCGGAGTGGTCAGAGGCACTATGCAGACCTATACAGGGCGGCTTATCCACTGCCGAGATGGTCGCCAGGATTCTTGCCCCCTCAGAGATCGCAGGCGGTCCGCTTTCACGGTACGAAACGCTGATTCATGGTGATGTCAAGTCTGAGAACCTCTTCACCAACATCGAAGAGGACCAAGTGGCGTTCTATGATTTCCAGTATACCGGATTGGGACTCGGGGTATGTGATCTCGCCAAGTTGTTTACTTGCTCCGTACCATTGAGCATGTTGACTAATGAACGGGCACGAGAGTTGGACATTAGCCCTGCAGAGATGGCATTGCTTCAAGAATACCACGCCAGGCTGCAAAGTGTGGACCAAAGGTCATATGATTGGGACGTATTTGTTCATCATTGGGAGAGTGCCTTGGTAGACTGGCTGAGGTTCCAGGCGAGCTGGGGCTTCTGGGGAAACACGGAATGGCTGGAGGCAAGGGTGAGAAGCATACTAAAGGACCAAGGCTGGCGGTCGTGGTTGGCAAAGAGTATTATCACGGATAACAATATCCAGTAGCATTCTTTGTATCTCCTCATATGTACTTCTGCGTTCTCGCAAACTCCAAACCTGCAGCCCAATGCCACAGCTTGGCAGCGACCACGTAGCGTTCCTTCTTCAAGTACTCAATCAGTTTGGCATACATGTCGGCGAGCGGTACCACCACCCTCTCAATGTTTTCTCCATCGTCCAATCTCTGCTCTGGCGGGGCATCTCCTTCCTTCAGGTGTACCTCCACCATGACCAATTGCATGTTGGCATTGGTTAACCCCGGGTCTGCGGCCACGGTGGGGCTCACGTCGAGCACCTTAGCCGTCTCGTAGCCCGTTTCCTCCTTTAACTCCCGTATTGCAGCCTGATCGGGGGTCTCATCTGCATCAATGAGACCAGCCGGCCACTCAACCGTGTAGGCATCGAGAGGCGGGCGGTACTGGATCACCAGCACGGTGCAGGGCGGTCTGGAGGGGTGCAGGATGATGTTGCCGATGGCGACGGCGTCGACGCCCGCCTTGCCGCGTGTCTTGCGCGCTGCCATCTCCCATGAGCGCGATGTACCGGATTGGTCCACGTAGTCAATTTTCTTGAGGGTAGCCCATTTGGCTTGGGAGACGGGCAGATCCGTGATGGCCGTGATTTGAGGGGAATGGGGTTGGGACGTCATGGTGAAGGCGCGGCGAATTTGTGATTGCTGCGCGGGCTGGTGATGAAATAACGGGTATTGACTTGATGATCCGAGTTAGTGTATATCTGGCTGCTGCGTGGTTGGCGAAAGGCCAAATCGTAGCACTGGATGGGGTCGATGAGGTCGTGATGTCTGATGAGATTTTGATGTGTTTGCTCCAATGTGGATTATGACTGCCTGCTTTAACAATTTATGGCGCAGTTATGAACAGAGTTGACAAGGTGCACATTCATTCCACGCAAGTCTATACAACGATAACTCTCAAGTATGCCTGCCTTGGTTGTAATCCACATGTTCCCAGTGTGTGTGCATGTGAACATTGTGAAATCATTACATGCAGTTACCAATGTCGGTAAAACTCGACCTGCCTTCACTTACCCTAACCCTACCCTAACCCTACTATGAGACCTTGGCTTTTGAAACCTGTTGTTCGGCGGATAAAGTCAGGTAGCCTGTGTCTTGCATTTAGAAGCCCTCTGATAAAGGAGTATTCACTAGATTACAGATGGTCTGTGCAGTAGCTTACTGTTACTAAAGAGCCCCCAGCTTCTGGGCTGCTCTCTTTAAAAGCGAGGTCGCCGTCGTTAGTAAGACAACTTCGTTTCCTGTTTAATCATAATAATTATGGATGTGTCACCCCTGGCATTGGCCCGAGTGATAATACCTCAAATTCCCAATATAATCTGCGTTGCATTCTTAGCACTCTTGCATCTATCCACGACGTCACCACTCCAGGACACCTTGACTCAAATTCTTGTTGCAATCACCAGACCAATCCTCGGTACACCAGCATGCATCGCTCGTTCTCAGCGACAGACAAGATTCGATCTCCCCATTCGAGGTCCTATATGGGTTTCCAAGGTGACTCTGCCAAGACCTACTGACGAAAACCTTCTGCTGGAACCAAATGGGGCGAGGAGTGCGACTTTGTGTGTCAAGGATGGTAAAGTCATGGGTATAATGGAAGCAGTAAGGGCCGCTATCAAGGTACTTGGGGATGGGAGAGAGACCTTCACTGAGCCCGAGCTTGTCGATGTAGAGGCGGAATGGAATGCGTTTAGGTCGAATGCACGGTGGTGGAGTGCAAGACCGAATATTTCGGAACGAGAGCAGTACAACAAAATGATGGAGGACGTCGGTAACGATGGACCAACCGTATTGTACTTTCATGGGGGTGCCTTCGTGTAAGTCATCATTTCATTCATTTGACTTGGTTTGTCAAAATATTAACAAGATACTAATTAGTCTGATGGACCCTTCCACCCACCGTCTCTTCACTACCCGCCTTGCCTACTTGTCACGCTCCCGCTGCTTCAGCATCCGCTTCCGCATGGCCCCAGAACACCCCTTTCCAGCCTCTCTGTCGGATTGTTTGGTGGCCTACCTATATCTCCTTTCTCCCTCCCCTTCCGCATACCATTCCCCTATACCGGCATCTCGTATTGTCTTGGCTGGTGACTCGTCCGGCGCCGCGCTAGCCACATCACTGACGCTCCTGCTACTCACGCTCAAGAATAAACTCGACCTGACCCACCTCCGCTTCAACGGCAAGGTCGTTCCTCTTGCCCTACCGGCCGGCCTTGCGACCCTGCACCCGTACCTCGATGTTGCGAGGTCGCTGCCCAGCGTGACAAGGAACTGCGAGTACGATATTATCACACCCCCAGGAAATTGGCCTTCACCATTATTCCCCGCTGATGACTTGTGGCCATCCAACCCGCCGCGTGTGGAAACTTATTGTAACGCAGTCTCCGTCATCCATCCTCTCGTCAGCCCGGTGGCCGCGCCCAAAGAGTGCTGGCGTTCTTGTCCACCTGTCTACGTGGCCGTGGGGTGGGAGGCGCTACAAGATGAGATTTCCGTATGGGCTAGACGGGTATATCAAGCTGATGATACCAATGTCGTCGTTTTCGACGGTTATATGGGGCAGCCGCACTGTTTTCAATTCTTGGCTCCGTGGACCTGTGTGAGCAAGAGGTGTTTCGGGAATTGGGCTGGCTTTTGTCGTGGTGTTGTAGAATGTGAAGGGGTGCAGCAGGCTGAGGAAAGCGGGATAGACATCACTACCACTGCTCTCAGTCAGGCAGTCGAGCACGGACTTGCGAACTCGATAAAACACAGGGTTCATTTTCTCAAGAGAATTTTGGCCTCCTCCAAATCAAGACCCCGGGCAATGCCAATCAAGCGAGTGCCGTATGGAACATGGGCAACTCGACACCTTCAGACCCATCATATCAAGTTCGAAAACCTCGCCATGGCCGACGATCGCCGAGTTAACATGACTAGATGCGATGATGCGACCGTACAGCGCTGTCTCAAAGCGCATAGGGACTGGCGCGTTCGTCTTGAGGAGCAGATCCTCCTTGAATGGAATGACATTGTTGGTTATGCCAGTCACAACGATGCAGACGATGACCCTGAGATCAGGAAGAAAGTGCATACTAAGGAAATTGAGTCGCGAGTGTGGAAATGGTGGGATAAGGTTGGGAAAGGCATTACTTCAAATCCAACTATGTACGGGTAGATGGAAGGTAGATGTCTTACTTAAGTTGGAATTTATTCAACTACCCTGTTACTAATCGTGGAGTAGTTGAGCTAAAAGAAAAGTTCACTTTATTAGTAGATGTTCAACTTGTGCTTTTCCACCGTGCCCTAGTAATCATGGCGCTGCCCGATCTATCCTACATGAACCCGTGTACCATTTGTTTTTACAAACAACACGCAGCTCACGCCCAGCTTTAGCTAACGTAGAGATGACTCAGAACTTGGTAGTGGTGGCCCAGCAGGGCGCCACGGGGCACCTTGGAATCCCCGTCTATGCGCGAACCGTCTCATGCGAGGGTTCAGTATAGCCGATATCGAATCGGGCGAGCTGGGCAAAACTAACTGCGGCGGGCAAGTGTCATAGGGAGCGTGCAGAAGGAGCGGCCGCCTATTCGTCAAAACGCTGCTTCTATCCGGGAGCCAATATAAGGACTTTAGTGGCCAAGACCTATTAGCCTAGAGAGTCCGGCGAATTCTGGACGGTACACTCGTCCGTGAAGAGTAACGTATTTCACCCCCATTCCGACACCCTATAAAACAAAACACCACGAATAACACTGCAATTTCAAACAACCACCACAAATTCAATTCTGAACAACTATACAATCGCTTTCGACAGTAGATACATTAGATATTTCTGAACCCGAATCATCAAAAAGAGCTTCATTAGATACTTCCCTCATCCGCCGTACGTCCTCAATCCTTGCGAATTTCGCGTTTGGACTTATTTGCACCTTCTTTTTTTTCCGTGGCTTCATAAGCTCCAATCGCTGTTTCAAGCCCTCAATTTGTAATTCTGCGCTTACTAATAGATAATCCTTCTCATCAAACCCTTTTTTCATCTTTCTAAATAGCTGGCGTTGTGTAGTCATGTTAGTTTGTTGGAGTCGACTGAACTCCCTAAACTGGCGCTCTACATCTACGCTCTTCTTTGGCGTTGACCATACAACATTGCCCTCTGAAGGCATCTGGAGCGTTTTCTGGACTTGCTGGGTTGTAATAAGAATGTCTGGACCTTGGTGACGTGTGCGGTTGCTATTTTCAAGCAGAAGAGGGCTAGTAAGGGGCCTAGCGACATTTAGGGGCCATAGACCACTTGTACGCCAACCAGACTTGATATTTTGAGCCGTTAGGGCCCTCTGGCGTGCTCTGGCGTAACAGCGCATAAAATTCCGCTTGCCAATAGGTGCTGAATCAGTTAATAGGGTTAAAAACCCGACCTCCTTGCGATATGCCGTTTTCATAGCTGAGAACACCCCAACATCGAGGGGCTGAAGGACATGAGATGAGTGTGGGGGTGAAAATAATAAGTATATGTTGTTTTGATAGCAAAGAGACATAAAAGTATCAGTTGTGTGACTACCGTGACCATCCAAAATAAGTAAACGAGTGTCTGAAGGGTTCTGAGGAAGCGTAAGGGGTATAAAAACGTCTTCAAGCCATTTGATAGCTATCGTATCGTCCGTCCAGCCCTTGGGGGATGCCTTAAAGCGCCAGTCCTTGAAGTCCTGAAGATTTTTATCAGGGAACCACTGATCTTGGACGTCCTTGCCCTTGAAAATAACCAGGGTGGGTAAGGTATTGCCAAGGGCATCCACACATTCCAAAATTGACGTCCACGCCCTCGAACCAGGCTGTTTCTGGTGTATTGCGCGTAAGTTAGCGCTCCCGACAACTAGCCCAGAGCCCCCTTGACCCTCCATAAGGCCATGCTCATCCATATTATACCTGCATTGCGGCTTAATCGCTTGAATTGCAGAAATACGTAATTTTGAAGCAAACCAGGCTTGGATTACCTCGGTAGACGCGCCATTGATACGCTGAGAGTCGATACGGCGTTGCGTTTTAGTCTTTAGTGCTGGGTGACGCTTTAGAAAGGCTTCCAGCCAATTCTTGCCGAGTGGTTGGTGGTCACCTTTGAGGGCTAGGACGCGCTGCGCGAGCTCCTTGATTTGCGCGTGCGTTGGGGCTAGTCCAAGGGCTTCCTGGACCAAAACCCAGTCTGCTAAGTGTTTTTCTTGCACTGGAGATAGTCTCTGCTGGCTAGCAGAGGCCTCGCGACTTCATTCAGCGCCTTGAAGTCTGTCGATAAGTGTAGTCCTTGGTATACCCCAATCCAGGCCAGCGCGTCGCACAGATTTACCATTTGCGACGTCTAGAACGGCGGCAGCGAGGTCTTCTTCCGTATATGAAGGCATTGATAGCAGATCAGATCGAATACTTGGAATAAAGTCAATTGAAGCAAAAGTGGTTGAGAAATAAAAGGATAATGTAAATAGCGGTGTGGTTATTGTTGAGGTTTACAGGGGTGTCGGAATGGGGGTGAAATACGTTATCCGTATAAGCTGCCGTATCTGGGCCGATATACGGTGCTGGCAGCAGAATTTAAGGCGCTCCTTCGTATGTTCGGCTATTAAGATAATTCGCTTTACCGCACGCTATTTCTTTAGGTAGTAGCCTTCGGTGTGTACTCGCCGTTATGCCGCTGTGGAGAGGCCCCCGAGACGGCAGAGCACGTAATCCTCTTTTGCGGCCTGCTGGAAGAATCAAGAGAGCGCCTACGGGCCACTATCGCACCTTGGCCGCTGCATACACGTAGAGACCTGGCAACGGCGACGGGGAAACCAGTAGTCAGCGGGACTATCACAAGGTGGCTACTCAGGACTGGCCGGATAGCGCTTAGGCCCGGATAATATCGATCTTCTCAGGGGACTTTGTTAGTAGGGTGAGAACTAACATAGTATTGTGGTGGACGTAACGCAGTCGCTAATAGAGCGAACCTACGTAGCAGCGTATGTATTTAGTCCAGCCATTAGGGCACGGTTTGACATACGGGAGCACTTGTAGAGGTACCGGGGGCTTCGAGCCTACGGCGTATTTAATAATAATAGGTAGTACTAGTATAGAACTACCTTAATAGTATCTAGGTATAACGTGATCCACAAGTCATTTTCGCACACAAGTCACTTTCGCACTTTTTCAAATATTTCAACCTTTTAACTTAGCTTGCACTTTTCTTCCCTCCCACAACATGCCTCGTAAATCCAAAGAAGCCGATCTTCAGCTAGCTATCCAAGCTAAAAAGCGCAACCCTGAAATTCCATGGCGTAAGCTTGGCCGTATCTACAACGTTTGCGACCGTACACTAAAGACATCGATTCGACGGCGACCAAACGCGACACGAAGCTAATATGTTAAAACGAAATCTAACTCAAACCGAAGAGGATACGATTGCCCGACGTATAATTGAGCTAGATGCGCGAGCATTTCCTCCTCGGCTTCGATACGTTGAAGAAATGGCGAATATCCTACGACGCGTACGCGACGCGCCCCCCGTCGGCAAGAACTGGACCACGAACTTCGTTAACCGCCGACAAGACCTCCGAACGCGTTTAAACCGTCGAATTGATTACCAGAGGGTATTTAGCGAAGGTCCTATTGCGTATTACGCGTGGTTTGAGCTTGTTAGGGACACAATCACTAAATACGGTATCCTACCGGAGGATATCTACAACTTTGACGAGACGGGCTTCCTAATGGGCATAATCACAACCGATATGGTTGTAACGAGTGCAGAAAGACACGGACGGCCTAGACAGGCTACACAAGGAGGTCGGGAATGGGTTACGGTGATCCAGGCTATTAATTCGCAAGGTTGGGCGGTACCGCCGTACATCATCTTCGCGGGCAAGGTTCATCTTTGTTAGGCAACCTTGGTGGGCTTTGCCAAGACCACCAAGGTTACCACGTGACTTAGCCCTTCGGGACTAAGTCCAACCTTCGTGCTCCATAGGACTAGATAGAATGTAATGCTTTTACAACCTCACAAATCTTTGACCACCTTTGCGTGTAACAATCTTGCTTCGTGGTATCGTGGTAACGACCTACCGGCCAACTGGAAGGTCGACCTTTCCCATAACGGTTGGACTACTAATAATATTGGTGTGGAATGGGCAAAACACTTTGTTCAACATATTATTAGCCGTCGGAAGGGTGCGAAAAGTCTCTTAATATTGGATGGTCACGAGAGCCACCACTCGATGGATTTTGAGACTTACCTCGCGGCGCACGGCGTAATTACATTGTGTATGCCTTCCCATTCATCCCACAAGCTTCAGCCTTTGGATTTGGTACCTTTTAGTGTGTTGAAACGGCTGTACGATGCGTTCGTGGAGGGTTTAATGCGAAGGCATCAAACCCATATTGAGAAGCAGGATTTCTTAGCTGGGTTTTTAGAAGCTTTCATTGGTGCTTTTCACGAAAAAAACATCAGATCAGGATTCGAAGCAGCTGGACTTGTTCCTTTCAACCCGGGTAGGGTCATATCTACGCTGGATATCGCAAAAGTAGTACGAACACCGACACCCGACCCCCAATTGCCTCCCTCCGTCTAGGTTTCTAAGACGCCTACCAACACCCTCGAAGCCGAATCGCAGTCAACTTTGATTAAAAGTAGCGTCCAGAGGCATCAAGACAGCTCGCCGACGCATATTTTGAACTCAATTAACTCGATTACGAAGGCTACGCATGCAATGATGCATGAGAATGCATTATTACGTCGGGAGAACGAAGAGCTTCGTGAGACGAACCATATACTAAGTAAGCGTCGTAGGACGAAAAATAAGCAAATCCAAGATGGATGAGCACTTAGTATAGGTGATGCACAAGTTTTACGGGCCTTGAGGGGTGATATCAAGGTTATGGAGGAGGAAGAAGGGGAAAGCAGTCGTCCTGTAAAGCGCCGGCAGACCGGTATAAGGCGCTGTGGTATTTGCGGAGGGACTGGACATAATGCAAGGACTTGTTCAATAGAAGTAGAAACTGATAATGAAGAAGATTTTGAGTAATTTAAAGGATAAAATGCGGGTTATGCATAGGATATTACTGAATTACTTGAAGGTGCCAAGAAAAGTGCGAAAGTGACTTGTGTGCGAAAATGACTTGTGGATCACGTTATGCCTCAATGTTTATTAGTTGGGTTCAGGCAGAAAGGAAATAGTTATGAATCTCATTATAGGCATACCCGGCACAAAACTTAGGCGGACAAACCTCCCACAGCAAAGCAGTCCGCGTTTACTGACAGACTATTCCCCGCTTGGTGCCATGATCCATTGCAGAACCACAAGCACACAGAGCGGCGGCAGAGTAGACATGTTCGGGCGCATAGTGGTGTTTAACAGTTTGATTGGTACCATCTACGACTCCCGGTTCATGGGTCTCATGTGTCGTGGTTTTCCTAAAATCGTCCTATGTCGACCACAACTCGCCATGACTATGCCACAATGCTCGATACTTAGATGCCGCAAGTGACTGCGGCTACATCGCTCGAAAGTACACATGTGCTAAGTATTTCAGCTTATGCATACTCGACTAGGTCGATTGAGAACCCCAACAGCACTCACATTGACTAATTGACTCCCATACTTGTGCCATCAACTTCAATTCGTACGAGGGATGCTACCGAGTTCATAACCGTTCCTATGTGGAACCTCATCACCTGGCAGTGTTCGTGGTCGTAACTTGAATCATCACTGTAGCATCCAACCCGTTTCCTACCCATGTCCTACCTTGCCCAATACCTTGCCGAATGCGGCCGAGTCTAGTCTCCAGTCCTGTACAACCCGACTACGACTAACTTTTAGCCATCCTCTTCCACAACATCGTTCCTCCACCCATGCTCAATCAACCAAAGTGCATTGCAGACTACATGGCAGGGATATTGTGATCCGCCGGAGAGCATATAGTCACATTCCACAGCCGTACCAAGGGCCAGAAACCTGCGATACAGCTGGCGGTTCGGGAGCTGTATATCAAAGTATTGCGACCAGGGCGATACTGGGTTTTCCAGACCAAACTTGCGAGTGGACGCGTGTTGAGGACCATGGACCGTGATACGACAGGAATATTGATGAGGCTTAGGTTAACGCAAGACGGTGGTGTTAGTGTTGATAATGCCGCTCGTGGCTAGACCAAGGATTGTTATAATGGGTAGGGGCCTAGTCACCGTCACGCAAGTCCGTTGAGTTTGCTGGGTAAACCAGCGCTACAATTGAAGTCCATGCTCAAACCAACAGTCCTCCGGCACTCACCAACACGCAAAAAGCGTCTTCTGTCGACTCGTGATTTGGGCCGCGAAGATATGGGCTGTGAAATATTTCCAGCATGTCTTGCATTATGCAGCGGGGTCGCTATGTGACTCCTCCCGATGACGGTGACTTGTCGCTCTGTGCAGCAAGTTGAAGAAACGATATGTCAATCGCAAATGCCATAGGAAGTGCTCCTAAGCACCATTTGGTCCGTTTCCGGCCACAAGCATAGACACTGGTCCGCCAGGTGAGTCCTCTTGCCGGGCAGTCAAAATCTCTACTCCCGTCTCGGTCACGAGGAGTGTGTGCTCTGTGAAAGTGTATTAGTCACATAATCAGGATATCGAGGTTTCAGGGGGTGGTACCAAACTGGGCTGTCTTCTTTCCATCAATGGTTGTGCTGGTCCAGTTGTCTGGCCACGTCACATCTCGGTACTTGCCCAAAGCGATCATGGGTTCGATGGTGAAGGTCATGCCGGGTTTGCACTCGCCGACGGCTTTGTTCTTCCCATAGTGCGGCACGTTGGGCGGGCAGTGGAATATGCTGTTGATGCCATGGCCACAGTATGTCCTGATGACGCTGCATTTCTGATCCTTGGCGTGCTTTTCGATGACGTTGCCAAAATCCCGTATCAGAGTGCCGGGCTTTACCAACTTGATAGCCTCATTCAGACATTCCCGAGCAGCCTCGACAACCCTGACAGTGTCCGGGTCGGCCCTGGCGCGATTGCCCACGTAGTATGTCTCGTTCAAATCGCCGTGGAAACCTCCGTGGTAGAGAGTCACATCCAAGTTCACAATGTCGCCGTCCAGAAGCACACGCTGGTCCGGGATACCGTGGCAGATCACCTCGTTCACGGAGGTGCATATCGACTTGGGAAAGTAGTTGTAGTTCAGAGGGGACGGGTATGACTGCGGGGCCTCGGTCAGTACAGGTACTGGCAGACCAGAGGGTGCATACTCACATTCCGCTCTATGCAAGCCTTATGGCACACTTCATCCAAATAGTCGGTCGTGATACCAGGCTTCAGCTCAGCCGCCACAATGTCGAGAACCTCGCGGGCCAACCTGCACACCTTGCGCATACCATCCTGAGCCTTGGCGTCTAGAATCTCAATCTTATTCCTGTTGACCATGCGCGAGCTTTTGGGTATTCCTGATTCGGCATAGTCTGGGTGCGGTATCGACTTGGGCACGGTACGCTTCTCCGACAAAGGGTAGACGGGTCGTAGAGGTCCAGTGAAGGAGTATGAAGGGAATGGGTTGAAGAATCCGATGGCTGGATCTGGTTTAGAGATGACCTTTGGAGGGATAATGCTGCGGAGTATACCATTCTGTGTCTTACCAGCGGCAGTCTTGTGCATGCTCTTGTGATCGCCCTGTAGCGTATTTTACGTTAGTCTCGCTTGCCGGCTGCCGGCGCGGGAGGCCCTTGGCGATGGGAGATGGGAGATGGGAAATGGAAGGGTCCTACATACCCAGTTCTTCTTGAAGCAGTCTTGAGAACAGAAGAAGCTGTCCGTGATGCCCATTTTTAGGCACGTCGGACACTGCAGAGTGCCAGCATCGTTCTCGCATTCCACGCCGAGACACTGCTTCTTCGCCGGGGTTTCGGTGTCAGACATGATGTCGGGTAGTTTCGGTTCTTTTTTCTGGAACGCAAAAATAGTATGAATATTCTAGGGAGAGGGTTGAAGAAAGCACGTGGAAGAAGTCAGGTTGCGTGAACGATTCTGCCTTGAATTCGTCAGATGTTGGCTGTTCGTGAAAAGGCGCGGGCAACGGCTCCCCCCACATTGAATGCAAAAATTCACTAAGCTGGGATATGAGTAAGTGGGGGTTCGTAAACGGTGTGACTTACGAAGTACGCAGGCACTCCGTATGACCTTCCTTCCGAGGTTTTGAGACGGAAACTTTGACTTCGGACCGTTTCCCACGTGTTTAGCAGGTGCCTCTTACGTGAGCTCTCAACCGCCGCTACCCGAGAACATCTAAGCCCGGATGAAGAGGTTATAAAATCATTCTTCGAAACAATCAGTTACCTTGCCCTTCTCCTTCAGTTGAGTGTCATTCCCATCGTTCTGTCTGGTCCTTGCAACGTTGGAAATTTTGATTTTGCATCATCAGACATCATATGGCCAAGGAAAAATTCGTCGTTGTAGGCGCTGGCCCTGTCGGATCTCTGGCTGCTCTGTACGCGGCGCAGAGAGGCCATGATGTTGAAATATATGAGCTCCGAGGAGGTGAGTCAAGTTCCCAGCTCAATAACAAAAACTCGGCTGTTACTGGTCGTCCTTTTATTGGGGCCCGACTAGCAATCACTTTGAGCACCCTGATGGTTTCCCAATGCACACACATGATCAACTGCAGACGCTCTGCATATGGATCACAACTCCATTCATCTGAGTGGTGCTGAGACTAATATTACTAGATTTGCGTGACCCTTCAACCACGCCGCTGAACTTCACCAAATCCATCAACTTGGCCTTGTCAGAGCGCGGCATCAATGCTATGCGTCACTCTGACTCGGACAAGCTGATCGACCATGTATTTGCTTCGGTGATACCCATGAGAGGGAGGATGATCCATGGAAGAAAGCCGTCAGGAGAGACGTACGAGGAGTCTCAGGACTATGACATCCATGGACGAACCATCTTCGCCGTAGACCGGGCTGATCTCAACAAGCGGCTGCTGGACATACTTGAAGCCATGCCCAATGTCCGTTTCTTCTTCAACCACAAACTGACAGGCGCCAACTTCAAGCAGCATAAGGCCTGGTTTGAGACCCATGGCCAGACAGATCATCCGGGACGTGCTGAAGAAATTGAAGTCGACTTCAACTTCCTGATAGGCGCCGATGGAGCTCACTCAGCTGTGCGATACCATCTTATGAAATATGTCCGAATGGACTATGAACAAAAGTATATCGATACATTATGGTGTGAATTCACCATCAACCCAAAGATCGGTGCTGTCTCAAGAGACACCAAGTCCAAGTTTGCCATTTCACCCAACCATCTCCATATTTGGCCTGGAAAGAAGTTCATGTTCATCGCGATACCGAGCGAGGTTTGTGAGACCTGGCACTGATGATCGGTTCTGAGCTGACCACGAACAGGACGGCTCTTTTACCTGCACTCTCTTCCTGCCGAATGCATATTTCGCCGAATTGGAGACAGAATCTTCCAAGTTACCGGCATTCTTTGATCATCACTTCGCAGGGGTGACTTCACTAATCTCACCCACTGACCTGATTTCTCAGTTCAAAGCCAACCCTCACCTGCCCCTCATTAGTATCAAATGCAAACCGTATCACTTTTCCAGCTCTGCAGTCATCCTTGGCGATGCCGCGCACGCTATGGTGCCTTTCTATGGGCAGGGGATGAACGCCGGCCTCGAAGATGTGCGTGTCCTGTTCTCCATCTTGGACAAGTACTCAACATTGGAGTCCAACAACCCAATTGACCCAGAACCGCTCGATGCGGCGTACCAAAGAACCTTGGCCCTGGCGGAGTATTCAACCTTACGTACTCTGGATGCACATGCGATTAACGACCTTGCGTTGCAAAACTACGTCGAGATGCGTGCGTCGGTTTTGTCTCCCACGTACCGCCTGCGCAAGTACATGGAGGAGCTGCTCTCGGTACGGTTGCCTCGCTTGGGGTGGCAAACCAAGTATTCGCGTGTTAGCTTTGGTAATGAGCGATATTCCGAAGTAGTGGCCAAGAGTGATCATCAAAATAAAGTGTTGATGAGGGCAGTGAAGGCGCTGGTTGGTGGCACACTCATGTTTGGTACGGTCGGAATCTATTATTGGCGTCACTCAAGATCTTTGACAAATGGCCGGCTATTTGATACTCTTTGGAATCTCATTCGGGGCTTGGCCAGGTAATGGCTGACCATATGCACTTATCATATGGGAGGTGCATTGCATACGAGTCACTTGCAAATGCTTTACCTTGAATCGTGACAAACAGCGAGGTCCAATGAAATAAATTCAAGGTTTGACGGCATTTCGTCAACTTGAATGAATTGGTACATAACAAAAGTGATAACAAGAAATTCTAAGATGCCGCTGCTGGGTGCGAGTATCTTGAGCTAATCGTGTTGCATGTGTTAAGAGTGTAGTTCGTCCCAAGCAAGTCAGCGCGACAGACACGAGCAAGCAATCATGTGCAGATTTGATTGCTTGAGCAAGGTCACCATTTCAGCCACCCGACCGACCGGGTGGTAAGTAGCACGGTACTTGGTGGTTCTGCCCCGCCGCCAGCGCCAGTGGTTTCCTCTAGCGTCCCCTCAGGTGCCCCAATCAACTTCATTACACCCAATCCAATTGCGGTGTTATGACCTCGGGACTGTGAGCTCTCTTCTGAAAGTTGCGAAATTGTGTGGTGGTTGGCTAGGGTGCCAAGGTCGGTCCTTCACGCTGATGGGCCAAGCGAGAAACCGGGCCCAAGGCTCGACAACTTCGACAAGGAAGCTTTTCTTGCGCAAGGAGCCGCTTTCATCATTGGATCCAGACCTTTGCACATTTCCCACTCACCACAAACTTGACACTACGCAACCAATCTTGCCCAACTGCCTGCCTTGAACTCCAAGACCCCGCGTAAGGACAGCTAGATCATTCCAAAACTCATTTACATCCTCGACAACACGTGTCAAGCTTGACATACACAGCAGAGGGATTTACTTCTCCCCAGCACGGCAAATCTTCTTGTTATCGTCGCTTCAGTGCATGTGTTGAGAGCATTCTCTCCCCAAGATTAGCACTCATCCGATAGCTCATTGCGACCGCACAAACCTCTTCCACGTCGACCGCACCAAGTCCAATAGCCGTGTACAGCTCCTACCGAGCTTCGCCTCCAATATATTGGGCCCTTGAGTGCGCCGTTGGCCTCATCCCAAACTTTTCCCCCACACATCGAACTCTAGCAGCTCATCCAATAAACTATCATCAATATGTCGGGCGAGGCGTGGTTATACCTCTTCGCGGTGCTGATAAATGCCGTCAACCTCTTCCTGCAGGTCTTCTTCACGATTATGTATAGCGACCTGGAATGGTACGTCAAGACCCCTCGACACTCGTTCCTTTACGACCCCGGCGTCGCCACCTAGTCTTCAACTATCCTGAGCTGTGCTGGCGCCCTACGTCATCATGCTACCTACTTCAACTCTGAGCTTTGCTTCAGGCAATTTGAACTCCATGCTAACAGACTGTTACTCTAGCGACTACATCAACCCTATCGATCTTTGCAACCGCCTGAACACGTACATCATCCCCGAGGCTGCTGTACATGGATTCCTCACCTTCCTATTCCTGATCAACGGGTACTGGTTGGCGCTGGTCCTCAACCTGCCTCTACTTGCATGGAACATTAAGAAGTAGGTGGCAGCTTTGGAGACGTTACATTTCTGCAGGGTGCTAACATGGGTCCAGAATCGTTGACAACACCCATCTCCTGGATGCTACCGAGATATTCCGGAAGCTGAACGTGCACAAGAAGGTAGGTGGTCAGGCAGGTCCTACACGCCTTAGTTGACTAACGATTATATGTAGGAGTCCTTCGTCAAGCTCGGTTTTCATCTGGTCATGTTCTTCTTCTACCTGTACAGCATGATTGTCGCTCTGATCAAGGACGAGACCCACTAGAAGACTAAGGACATTCTCCGACCGAATGTAGCCGCTGAGGACCACCTCACAGAGCAAGCGGTACTCTTGCGAGTTATCTGCCGTGGGTATGGGTTATCTATACGTCGAGAGGATTTGAGACGGAGCAGGGCAGCACGCAGACTTGTATGTGGCAAGGTTTGGACAAGTCGGAAATGGAGTCAACCAATATGATATGAAAGAACGAAATGATAGGACGGCTCGCTTTATCAAGCAGCCGGGCAGTGGTTATAGATACATGTGGGAACATGGTACTGGCAGGGGGGAGAGAGAGCCAAATTAGGACTTAGGAGGGGATTTCTGGCCAGGCGAACGAATTGCACGCGCTTGGGGCGTTGTAGGAATGGAGCGTGAATTTCAACAAACGTAATGAGAGACTAAACTATACCCTTGTTTGGAGCTATATTCTATAATATGGATGTTTATGGATTCTATGCGGTATGTTGCAGTCATGTTCGTCCTCACAGAAGAGTACTTGTTTCATAGAAACTTGGCTCGCAAACAATCCTAAAGTTAGTAATGGTCATGAAAGTGCACAACTCATTGTTGACTCGGGCAGAGAGTTACTGGTAAGTGGTTGTTTACTGGCAGCTGCCACCGGCTGAAACGCCTGAGCCGACGCCAAAGTTTCCATAGTTCCGCGAGTTCTGGAGTTGCGACGCGCCAATTTATTCAACCTCAACCATCAGATTTAATTGCAATAAACTATCAACATGGCCAACTTTGGGCAATACCCACCGAATATGGCACCTAAGGATGCGCTCATATTGCGTCAAGAAACCGCCCCAGATCATGCCGTAGTGCCCTACACGGGCGAAGACCTGGCGCGACCCAGATTTGGACCTTTGAACCCATACAAGGACGAGGCGAATACACTCAAGCGAAAAAACATTTTGACGGGGAACGCAGAAGAGACCTTCATCAGCGAACACACCTTCCGAAACAAACACCGCGCCATCGAGCGCCGGGGCGGCCCGGAGAGGCCGTACCAGACAGGAATCGAGGCAAAGCAAGAGGCGGCAAAGATACGGGCGGGCCGGCAAAAGAAGGGCGACGCGATCATCGCTGATGGTGAGGGAGCGTATGTTGGACCCTGGGCCAAGTACGAAAGTGCAGAGTACGAGGAAGTCGGCGATGACGAAGGGCTAGCAAGCGACGAAGAATACGAATATATCGAGCAAGATGAAGACGAGGTCGTCGAGAGCGGTACCGTGCTCGCTGCACCGGCAGAATCAATAGCAAGGAGGAAAGAGGTCGAGAAATTGGGCGACGAGAGATCTAAGTTCCATGGCTCGGAGCAGTTCGACTACCAGGGCCGAACATATATGCACATCCCACAAGATCTCGACATCGATTTACGCAAGGAAATCGGCAGCGTCACCAACTACATCCCCAAGAAGCTGGTGCACACATGGCAAGACCATGGTGGCAAGGCTGTCACATCCCTGCGCTTCTTCCCGAACTCAGGACATCTCCTACTGTCGTCTGGCGCAGACACCACTATCAAGATCTGGGACGTTTACCACCAGAAGGAGCTCCTACGTACGTATCACGGGCACGCTAAGGCTGTATCCGACATCACCTTCAATTCATCGGGTACGCAGTTCCTCTCGGCATCCTACGACCGGCAGATGAAATTATGGGATACTGAAACTGGTGCTTGCATAAACAAATTCACGACGGGCAAGACACCCCACGTTGTCAAGTTCAACCCATCCCCCGAGCACTCTCACGAGTTCCTGGCTGGCATGTCAGATAAAAAGATCGTGCAATTCGACACACGTACACGCGAGATTGTACAGGAGTACGACCACCATCTTAACGCCATCAACACCATCGTCTTCGTGGATAATAACCGCCGCTTCATGACCACCTCGGATGACAAGTCGTTGCGCGCCTGGGACTACAATATTCCCGTACCCATCAAGTACATCGCCGAACCTTACATGTACCCTATGACGCGTGCTGCGCCCCACCCCTCGGGCAAGTATGTTGCGTACCAGAGCTCGGATAACCAGATTGTCGTCTACGGCGCCAATGACAAATTCCGCCAGAACCGCAAGAAGAGCTACCGTGGGCACAATAATGCCGGAACCGCCATTGATGTCGCCATCAGTTCCGATGGGCAATTCCTAGCCAGTGGTGACAGCGGTGGTTTTGTGTGCTTCTGGGACTGGAAGACCTGCAAAATGTACCACAAGTTGCATGCTGGCGATCAAGCCATCACATCTGTGTTGTGGCACCCTCAAGAGACCAGCAAGGTTGTTGCTGCGGGCATGGACGGCATTATCAGGTATTGGGACTAATACTAGTTCAAGGCAGATGGTGGGGGGAGACGTGGAAGATGTTTGTACTAGATTGCATGACAGCATTGCTCGGCGTTAGGCATTACCCTATGATTTCTATTGATACCAAAATGGCTGAATCAAGCTGGTAGCATTCACTAACTGCAAACAAGTGCTCGTGCTTAGCTTAATCGCTCGGTTGCTTAGTGAATCAAGAGCCTTATTCTGTACCCGCATTTCAAAAATTAATTTCGTTTATTAGCTACCTTATGAAAGCGTACGTCTTATAAAGGCAGTGAAGTAGACTAGCTGCTATGTGTGAAAAAAAAACCAGTAGTAGCGTGTGCCCCTACGACACCTCCTAACCTAGGTAGTTAAGGCCTAGAAGGAAGGGTAACTTCCGACTCCTTTTTACCTCCGTAAATACTAAATACCTTCCCCTCGTAGTACAGTTATCACTAGTACAAGTACCAATTTCTCGTAGCTATTTTCGTACTAGCCCTTTTTTACCTAGTGTAGTATCAAAGAAAAGTATATAAAGAGAGCTATAAAGGAGGATTCGTAGCCTTTTATAGCTAAGACGCCGAACCTCTTAACGAAGATATAAATGATCCTCGACGCCTACAGAGCTATCGTATAAGAGAGGAAGCTATGGAAGAGGAAATAAGAGTCCTAGCAAACATTATTATTATTATTATTAAATACGCCGTAGGCTCGAAGCCCCCGGTACCTCTACTAGTACTCCCGTATGTCAAACCGTGCCCTAATGGCTGGACTAGATACATACGCTGCGTCGTCGGTTCGCCCTATTGGCGACTGCGTTGCGTTCACTACCATACTACGTTGGTTCTCAACCTACCAACAAAGTCCCCCCTGAGAAGATCGATGCTATCTGGGCCTTGAAGCTGTCCGACCCGTCCCTAGCAGCCACCTTACAATAGTCCCACTAACTACTGGTTCTCCTGTTGCCGTTGCGAGGTCTCTGCGAGAGTATAGTGGCCGCGGTGCGATAGCGGCCCGTAATCGTTCCCTCCGTCCTTCCAACAGCCAATGCATCTACTGATTCGGACTTACAGCATTCGAGACTCAGCAAACATAAATGCTAGGATTCTAACCTAGAGTGTGACAGGCTTGGCCTGTGCGCAGGAATCTGGCTCTGGGGAGCACAGATCAAACGCCCCACTACCTAAGAGAGCATACAAATCAGCGCTACCCTACCTCACCGCCATTCCTTCCCTTCCTCCTTCCCTCTGCATAGTATGATAGATAAATCAGGGTAGTACAACAGGCTCGTTACATTGTACTGCATCCGTTACATAGAGATAGCTAATAACACTAGGTGTTAGGCCCATCTATAATCCTATTACGAACTAAAAGACTACTTCTACGTCTTTACATATAAAGTACTTTTAGGATATGAACTGTTAGTGTTAGGTAATCTTTGTAGGCTTGTGAGGACAAGTAACAGTGTGGCTGTGTAGCTGTATAGCTGAAGCCGCCGAGTAATCGAATAATTATCGGAGATTAAGCTCCTTAAAATAGGCTAAACGCGTAATACTTAGCTCAGCAGATAGAAGTTAATAAAATTCCTTACTTCTTAGAATTAACTTCCGTATTAGCCTAACCGTAGTTACCTTCCCTAATACCTAGCCGTACTGTAACGAAACCTCTAATAGTCTAGCTGCGTAAACCACTAAAGAGTCTGTGTGACGAGGATACCACACGTCTCACAATATAATAGTCAGGTAGTGCAAAGGGTAGCTAGAAGTAGGCCAGTGTATGGGTGCGTATATTGCAAGACTGATTCTTGAAGAATCCAAACTAGGTGCGAGCGTCTCGAGTTCTCCTCTTAAGCTGGGCGGTTTCGGGGTTCTACCGGATCGGGGGCGAATCCTGTCAGATAGGGCACCTGGTTCCTAGGTTCAGAAATAATATGGCACTAGAGAAGACTATTGTCACTTAAAGTTCAGAAGGCGAAAGGAACCCCTCTTCTCAAAAGTAACACCAAAGTTACCGACATGTTCTAAAGCATCTATAAAAGGCAGAGCAACGGGAGTTCGCGAGAACAGAAGTGTCAGAGCCACAAGTGTCATCCGAGGCGGGCCGGCTTCCACCAGGAAGGAAGTCGTTTGTGGCGAATGAGAGCTGTTGAAGCCGTTTGCAGCGGATAGGGAATCGCTTGGTTGCAGATAAAGAGCCGCTATCCAAGATGTTGGCCGAAGTCGGAGGAACACAGACATGCGGAAGCAAACATCCAGAATCCAACAGAGAACCTCGGCTGGCTATAAGTAAGGAGTCGAGACGGAGGAAGATAGAGAGGGGAGAGATCAATAAACTACTGTGGATACCCCTACCTGCCATCACCAAGTGACCACCAGTGAACACCAGGTGACCACCAGGGGGACACGCCTATTTCTCCCCTTCACTCTGTACTATCGCCTTCGGTCCAGGCCGTACCCTGACAAGAAGACAGACAGACAAGAACACACCTCATTTATATACAATCTTACGCACTGCTGACTACTCGATTGGACACACGTGATATTCGACAAATCCCTCCCGACTCAGCTTGTCAGCTGAGACCGGCCCTCCACAACGGCTCTTTCCTTAGAGTCTGTAAGGGTTTGTGCTAGTAAGTAGGTCCTGCTGCGGAGTCCTTTAGCAATAATATCGGGGTCTGACGTATGGAGTATAGGGCTCTGGGTAACTGAAGTATTCAAGTAGGGTAGTGTGACGACTGACACATGGACGATAAGCAGGGACATCCTGACATGGCCTGCCCTGATCTGGACGAGCGCGTTCCCCTTATAATAGGAGAACGGCCAGACATACTTGTAACCCTTTCCTTCTCTTTCTTCCCTAGTTTAGTATTCAACAATAGAGATGCACTGATATGCAACCTTGATTCGTACCTATGTGCCTCTGCCTCGTTACATAATACTAAACTCAAACCTATAGTCTGGAGAGACTCAAATCATCTTAAGAAAATTGAAGACGAACGCTCGCCCTCCCGGCAAGCGTAACTGATCTACGTCTGATCAGAGCAAGAATGGCCCCAATTCGCGGAGCTAGTGTGAACCTGGGTCGAGAGGCCCTTCTACGACGAATCGCCACTAGGATTACGGATCTGGCCTTGACCAGGGAAACTCTCGACCAGATCAGAACAAACCCGGATACCTTTCGCTGTCACGTTTCGGAGGATGAACTTCTCCAGGACGAACGAGACCGTATCGCCTCGATTGGAAACCGTACCAAGCTCGCACTATACACCCCTGAAGACCAAAGACAAGACGCCATTATCGCAGACCCCTCCTCGATCGAAGCATTGGTAGAGTCTGACCAGACCGAGGACCTCGCCCGTCATGTCCGAGACCTCGCTGTTAAAGAACTGGTACACCGAGAACAGGTCGGACTGTTATGTGACCTGCTGAATCGGCTAGACACGATCCAGGGCCAGCTTGCCGAACTGTGGGAAAAGGAAGCCACGCGCTGCGCATTGTTGGAACAACAAGTTCGGGAGCTTGCCCAGGAAAAGGCCCGACTAAACGAGGACATCGTGCAGCTGAATCGGAGGGTTTCCCCCCAGACTACGACTCCTGCGGCCCAAGGCGGGGGCACGATTCGCACCTCCGATGCCGATATCTTTACCGACGACGATAGCGGCAAAGTGAAGGTTTATTTCGACCCTTGGTACTACAATCTGACCAAGTCCCTAGAGCAATACCCAACCAGATGGCCCTCTGATCAGGATAAGATGCTCCTGGTGACCCAACGCCTGGGCGGAGCGGCATCGAGGGACTTGATGTCATACCTACACGAAAACAACGCCTACCGCATTACGCATTGGCAGGGGCTGCTGGACCACCTCTACACCACCTACCACGACGAAGACCAAATAGAATCTGCCCGCGCCGAATTCCGGGGACTTCGCATGAACGACAAGGACGAGTTTCACTTGTTCAAAACGAGGTTTATGCGCCTCGCAGGGCAATCCCTCGTGCCCGCTGACTCGTACAAATACGAGTTTAACCTACGCCTCTGTTCTCGCATTAAGCTTCAGATGATCCGAGACTACGACGATTCAAGCATTGACTTTATGCAATTCGTTGGGATCGCAGCCAAGCAGGCGAGTGCACAGAAACGAATCTACGAAGAGCGGGAACGAGGCCGAAGGAGGGAACCTACGAAGAAGGACGGCCGGGAAACAGGCGGAGCCACGTCGACTGCCCCTGATCAGGCCGAGAAGACACCTAGAAGATGCAGAAGACGCACTTCAACGAACCATGGCGTAACCGAGGGCATAGGTGGGGAGGAACGACAGCGGTTGATGAGAATCGGAGCATGTTTCAAATGCAAGAAGACTGGACACCTTGCGTCCGACTGCACCGATCAGGGCTCGAGTCAAGAGCTCCAAGCTTCAATCCAGGCTATCGTACAACAATCTCTCGCTTCAGCGGTTGCTGCCATGACTCCGACGGGTAAGATGTTGGGTGCGCCCCCGCCTCGACCACGCGCCCGACGGGTTGTCGAGATAGACACGGACGACGAAGAGTCTGAGGACTCGGGAAAAGATTATACTCCAGGAAAGATGTCTCCATCTGGAGTAAGGTGTTGACCATCGAACGATATGGATTTTCTGTTGCTGCACTGGATTTGGTGCCCCTATTAGGGGGCAGGTCCCTTTCACTACCGTGTAAGCTTACAAAAAATGGAATTGCTCTTTCTATATCTTCTTTGATCGACACTGGAGCAGGCGGCTACGCCTTTATGGATTTGAAGACAGCACGACGAGCCTATAGGACTCTTAAGGCCGAAATTATTGACGACTTTGAACCGGTGCCTTGTGGGGGGTTTGATGGCATTCCGACCCAATGGATAACTACCGCCCTAGTAACTACGCTCGAGCTAGACGGTCGGAACTTCCCAGATACAGTGTTTCTCCTGATCAAGACGGGAGGCACGCACGAAGTTATTCTAGGCCGCAATTGGTTGGCAGAACACGATATCCTCCCCGATTGCCGCCGACACGAACTGCGGTGGCCAGAGAACCTACCCCGGGACGACGAGGTGCCGTTGGGAGACAGCCCTGACCCTACAACGCATGCGCCTAGGCCTTATCAGGGAAAGACGGTTCGGCTCGAGGAGACGAAGCATTCAGAAACGACCTTTCCTGCAAGTCCAGCCCGTCCCCGACCGAACCCCCCTGAACTACACCACCCATCCCCAAACCGCGACAAGGTTATAGGGAAGGGTCAACGCCGGAACTTAGAACGGATGGACAGGCAGCTTTACCCTCGACCCCTCCCGTCCTCTCTGCCACGGAAGAAGGACAAGGAGGGAACCCCCCGAAAGGAGGAGATGGGCATGGATATGGCCATCGTGAACGCCGTGACTTTCACCACCTGGTCTAGGCGATTACCTGATCAAGTCGGTGTAACTAGTATTTACGGAATCGAACGCGCAATTCAGGAAAAACGGCGCGAAGAAGGAATTGACGAAGACCCCTTGAAGTACGACGACGAGACACTGCGCCGCCTAGTAGATGAAATAGTCCCACGACAACACCAACACGAACGAGGAGTGTTTTCGAAGATCGAATCGGATACCCTGGCCCCTAACCGCCCTGGAGTCGACATGAATATCGAACTTGAGTCCGATCACAAACTATCTTTTAGCCCGTTATATCATATGACCTCCAAACAGCTCGAAGCGGTTCATGAATACCTTATGGACAATCTGAAAAAGGGGTTTATTACCCCTAGTTCGGCCCCATGGGCGTCGCCTGTACTCTTTGTACCCAAATCGAATGGGGGACTTCGCTTCTGCGTGGACTACCGGAAGCTGAACGCTATTACGAAGAAAGATCGGTACCCCTTACCCCTGATCGAGGAAACATTAGCTCGGGTTAGTCGCGCTCGAGTCTTTACGAAGACCGATATCCGACAGGCCTTCCACCGCATTCGCATGGACCCCGGTGCGGAAGACCTGACGACATTCCGCACCCGTTTTGGATCCTACAAATACAAGGTAGTGCCATTCGGATTGACCAATGGACCTTCTACCTTCCAGAGGTACATCAATGACGCACTTATCGACTACCTCGGCGATTTCTGCTCAGCCTATATCGATGATATCCTTATCTATTCGGATAACGAACTAGAACACGAGATCCACGTCAATAAGGTCTTACAACGACTACGGGAGCATGGACTCCAGGCAGACATCAAGAAGTGCGGATTCTATGTGACGGAAACGAAGTTTTTGGGCTTTATTATCAGTACGAAGGGGATAGCGGTAGACCCGGAGAAGGTACGGGCTGTAGAAGATTGGGAACCACCAGACGGGGTAAAGGGCGTCCAATCTTTTCTCGGATTCTGCAACTTTTACCGAAAGTTTATTCGGGACTTCGGCCGTCTAGCCCGACCCTTGACCCGATTGACCCGAAAGGGTCAAAGCTGGAAATGGACCGAAGAGTGCCAAGCAGCTTTCCAAAGTCTAAAGGAGGCATTGCTCTCGGCGCCCGTCCTGGCCCATTACCATGAAGGCTGGGAAACCCAGGTCGAGACGGACTCCTCTGACGGGGTCCTAGCTGGGGTACTATCCCAGAAGAACCCGGAGACGGGCGAATTCCACCCCGTAACCTACTACTCGAAGACTATGACGGATACGGAGACCCGATACCCGATTCACGACAAGGAGCTACTGGCGGTTATGGAGGCTCTGCGGCAGTGGGAGTACATGCTCTTACCGCAGAAGTTCCTGATCGTAACCGACCACGAGGCCCTCGAATACTTTAGTACGAAAAGGATGTTGAACTTCCGGCAAATAGGATGGGTAGACCTGATGTCCAAATTTGACTTCAACCTGATCTATCGGCCGGGACGATTGAATCAAGCCGCAGATGGCTTATCACGAAAAGCGGAAGACCTTCGCACAGCACAGGCTATAAAGGAAGCAGACCGCCATAGGGCATTGTTTACCCCTATATGCCCGATTGGTCCTATAAGACGGCTATGGATTAACGCCTTGGACCGCGACGAGACGACCAGCGACGGAGTAGGAGGACCACAAGGATACGAGGTGGTCGAGAAGATCTTGCAATATAACCGGACTCTGCCAGAGCTGGAAACCTGGAGGATACGGGCTCGGTCTGATCAGGACAACGACAAGGATTGGAGACTACAAGATGGGTACCTAACGTACCAGAACCGTATTTTCGTTCCCGACAAGGACGACTTACGAACTCGTCTAGTATCGGAACACCACGACCCCTTAGTCATGGCACACCCGGGCCAGAACAAGGTCCGCCGCCTACTCGCCAGACAGTACTATTGGCCGGGGCTCCATGGATTCGTGGATCGGTTCTGTGCGAATTGTTGGACCTGCCGAGCCAGTAAGGTCCCTCGCGACAAGACGCCGGGGTTGCTACGCCCCCTCCCTATACCAGATCGGCCGTGGCAACATGTCGTAATGGATTTCAAGGAGTTTCCCCCTGATCAGGGTGGATTTGACAACGTCTTTGTGGTAATAGACCGCCTAGGCAAAAGGGCCTTCTCA